CTTTTTGCAGTGCGTAGAAATGTGGTCCCCTATCTTTTCATTCAACCCTAATTGCTTTTTTACCTCACTTCTGTTTTTGCTATAAGCGTATCAATACTGTAACTCTCATCATGCAATCATCTCGCTCATACGTTCGCAATGGCAAAGTTGTCAAGAGAAATCATCGTGTGGCAAACCATGCCAATCTTGCAAGCCATTTGGGGTCACTCAACCTCCGAGAGTCTGTCGGCGATCACGAAGATGATCCAGGTACAGGTCCAAGAGTTGACAACACAAAAAGCATATGACCAAGTATTCAACTAAGGTAAATGATCAATAGCACAAACTGAGTCGATGGATTTGGATACAGGGAATGCTAATGCATTTTCAAATATCCGCTATACAGCTGTTGAATCCAGTGATAGCGACATCGACAGCGACAGCGACCCAAGCATTGACGATGATGAAGAAGGGACATCTTCCCCAAAGAGTGCCATACATTCGTTGCTTGGCAAAATGAGCACTCATCCAGTTGTTCCTTCAACTGTCAGCAACAGTGCCGAGTCTTCAACTTCCCAAGCGAAGAAAACCACTCGACGAAGTGGCCCCAACTTGACTGATCAGCAAGTTGATCAAATCCTTGACCTTGTCGTTAAGCAAAGAAAAAGCCGTCGTGATGTTGGGGCTATGTTTAACAAGTCGGCATCCACGATCGGCAGAGTTGTCAAGAAGTATAGAGAAAGTGGAACAGCTGTTGTGTCTCAAAAGGGACGCACAGCTCCCACTAAAATCGATGAAGAAGACAACTCGTTCCTCCGACATTTTCTCTCAACCAACAACACAGCTACTCTGGATCAGATTAGCCATGCTTATGAGCAAAAGTTTGGCATAAAAATCGCCAGCAGTACGCTACATCATCATCTTTGCCACTCAATGCGCATCACTCTCTAGCGTGCTGGCAAGTATCCCGAGCGACGTACAGATGATGAGACCAAGCAGTTGCGAGCAGAGTTTGTGCGTACGCACATCGAATCAGGTGTCGTTGATTATAAACGCAACTGTGTTTTCATTGACGAAGCCTCATTCAATGCAAGCATGCGGAGAAATTATGCATGGTCCAACGCAGGGGATCCTGCACATGTTCACGTACCAATCCTGCGTGCTCCATCAACGACACTTTTGGCAGCGGTTAGCAACGTGGGGCTTATTGAAGTTGCAATGAACGTATGCCCAAAAAATGATGGGGAGAAGGGCACAAAAAAACCCGTTAAAAAGGGTACCACAAGGTAAAGCGTTTTAATGATCCACGTATATGAGACTAACGGCTTTTATGTAGCATCGATTTTTTGGGATTTGTGAATTTGGTGATGGATCAACTAGATGCAAGAGGCTAGAGTGGGTGGTACTTGATCTTTGACAATGCCCCCATTCATACGCCGCAATTCATTGCCAAAGAGATTGAACGACGTGGTTACCATATGCTCCTTTTGCCGAGATACTCGCCTTTTCTCAACTCTATCGAAGAATTTTTTCAAAGGTAAGATCTTCTGATACATCCTTTGTGTTTATGATTACATAACAATTGTTGCAGGTGAAGGCTGTATTTCGCAGGGATGCTCTTGGACACCCGTCTGTTGAGGATCTCGAGCTGCGTATTTGTGAGGCAATCTCCAAATGCCAGCTGAGTGATTATGTAGGATGGGTGAGCCATTCCACCACCTTTTTCCCTCGTTGCATTGAGCTTGAAGATGATCTTTAGGCAAAATAAAGTGTGAAGTTTGTGGCTAAGGAGTGATGTGAATAAGATTGCATACATTACTCGTTTTTGTTTGTTTTGATGCAGCAAAAGTAGATGGTCTACGCACATAAGTAGATGGTCTACCAAGATAATTTTCAATCCTATCTATATTGAACTTGACACACCATGGCCTACCCAAAGAACTTTGCTCGCAACCAAGCCGCTGATGCTGATGATGTGAATGAGCTCTCATCAAACTTCCGGCGACAAGCAAGCTTTACTAGTAGTTAGTATTTTATACGTGTAGCATAACGCGTACTTAACGTTATGTATGTATAGGTCGAGAAAACATGGATGTTGTGTCCGATGAAGGGGCTGAAGAAGGCAACCATGCTAGCAATCAAGCTAGCAATCAAGCTAGTAATGAAGCTGATAGTAAGTTGGAAAGGTTAAGAAGCTGTACATAGTATT